GTTGCATATTATTCATTTTTTGTTCCCAGTTCTTTATATCAATGGTGAGGCTTACTTAATGCAATTTTAAACTTAATTAGTGTAAAAACAGCTGAGCCAAAAATCAACATACTTAATATGGTATATTTGGAATCAGAAGAAAAAAATCAATCATTTGAAAAAAAATGCAATGCAATGCATAACTGTCATTATGACATTTAAACAAAAATTAATGTCCCAGGATCTAGAATAAATAAATTTGAACAGCCCGACAGTAATGCGAACAGGGCGCCATCTATCATGAAAATGCCTTAAAGCACTATGTAAAGTAGGTGTCTGTAGCGTCGATGCAAAACCAGTAAATAGTAATTTTTCCAATAAAGTAGATGGCCCTGGCTTGGCTCAATTTTGTTGACAAAAAAATTTACACTGAGATTCCATTCTCGACAGTTTATATAGTATTTATCTCTGGCTTTGACTATGATTTTGACATGTGCAAGATAATAGAGATAAAACCCATGACTTGTATTTAACTTTTTTTTTGTTCAAGTTGTAGAAGCCGCACTAATTACCAGGAACAGACCCTGTACTTGTAACAAACTTAAAAACGAAGTTGAATGGATACAAACATTTTTGGGATCTTGAACCTATTCTCAATATTCACCTTGTCTTGCTTTCTAAGATGAAAAGGACCATTTCCCTACAAAGCAATGGGACCATAAAATATGTATTTTTTTTTTGCAAGTATTTGTATATCTTCATCTTGCTAAATGTAATCATCAAGACCTCTTCTGAGGAACTTCATTTTATACTTCATATCAACATCAAACGTCTCTATGATCCAGCCGTTATGTCATGTATTATGTATCATATGCAGCAGCATAGTATTCTTCATTTTTCAGAGACTCTTCTTCACAAAATGTATTTTCCTCTGCTGTTATTTCCCAATTCATTTTTTTTCTGAATAGCTTCCACTTTCAGAGGTTTTGGCATCTTCCATGTTTGGAGTCCTTTTTGATTGCAGTTTTTTATTTTTGCTCTTTTGATAGGCTCTATTCCTACTTGGTGCTGTTCTGTTACTTTATTTATTTTTTTGACAACTTTGCATACTTTTGCATCTGAGATTTCTATCTGTTGATGATAACTCGGTTGATATCTTTCCGTTTTCATTAGAAAATAGCCAGCACAGTGTCTATTTTTTCACCAACAAATTTTTGTCCTAAACTTTCATTTCTAGGCTAGGGTCTAATGTTTTTGAATTATTGTGATCAGTGTAGTCCTCAATATCTAGTGAATCGTAGTTTGAAAGTGAATTTCAATTATTCCTACATAGCATTTAGCTCTTCAATAGTATCTTCCCTGAATAATTTATTTTGGCTGGACAAAACATCTTCTGGTTCAGGACATTTGTACTCGAAATATTCTTCAGGGTATTCCAAAGTGTGACCTCCATATGAATTTAATGGATTTGAATTTGATTTGAATAAAGAAGTCCCGCTAAATCGAAATTCTAAACTTACAAATGCGGTCAATTAATATTTTCTATAGGAAGTAATTTAGGTGCAGGCTTTTACCTTTAACGCCGATTCCCTCATATCCAGTAGCTGGCGCCAGTCTGGCATCGTGTGAACACTTACTGCAGTGAAAACTCACGATTAACTGGACTCATGTAGACGACCTGGGTCCAGCGCTTTGCCAGCCAAAAATTGGCATGCCAGGCAGCCAGTGATACTGGCGCCAGCTACTGGATACATGTAAATCGGCCTTTATCAGGTGGAGGCGTACGCGATTGCCAATGTGATTGTCAGATTGCGACAGCGATTGCGGGGCTGCGAATGCGATTGTAGGATTGTCTAAAGCGATTGTGAGATTGCAAATGCGATTGCGGGACGGCGACTGAGATTGCCACAGCAATTTAAGTGATTGCAAGCGATTGTTAAGAATTTGTGACAGTATTGCCGCAAGATGTTACCCCCTCGTGTATTGCTTTGCAATTAACTGTTTTGAGCGTTTACAGTACTTTATTTTTAATAAATCTTAAATAAAATCAAAGTTAACAATTTAATTATTCAAAAAAGCCGCGTTTCCACTGTCAGTAAAGAAGAAACCTGCATTCAAACAATGTTCACTCTTTTATTGCTGTCCGTAGCCACCAGGAGCGCTAACGTCGATATTGTGCCAGTTAAGTACAGGGGAATGACTTCTCTCGTAGTTTACTACTATTATATTTCTCTATGGTTGTTATGTCGATCAGGGGCGTAGCAACGGGGGGGGGGGGGTGGTTGAGGGTTGAAATCCCCCCACTTGATCAGAAAGTATAATCGAAAACCACTTTTGGAAATTATTAGAAACTTTATTCTTTTCATATAAAGTATTTGACCTTGAAATTCTGCAAAATTCTCAGGCTGCGCGCTTGATGTCGATTAAACTAAACCGTCCAGTTGTTAAAAAATTGCACCTGTAATCTGTAATAACAGATTATTTTGCTGAAAAGTCAACAAAAGAAACAAAAAATCAAGTAAACAAGGGGCGTGTGAAACACACATGACACGTGACCAAGTTAGTCCAACTATTTCGCTAGAGGGACGTCTTTTTGAATTCCTTCCTTCTTCCTTAAATACCTACTAGTCTCTATCCCATTAGATAATAAATTATTGTTGATTTGTTTTCGCTTGTTTGTTATTTGTTGAGATTTTTCTCATTTGATACAAGAAATTAGATTGTATCACGTATTTGAACTAAAATTTGCATGCGGATTAAAACTCGGAATCATATTCAAAAATTATAAAATCATTTTGCCTGAGGATGAATATTTTCGGTCGAAACGTCGGAATTTAAAAACGTGTTGTTTATAACCTGATGGCATTGGAAAACCGAAACGTCGAATTTTTAAAATAACATCACCACAGTAAAGTCCACCCAAAAGTGCTTCAAGAAAGTTATCTTGATTTTTCTCGATCTCTCAAAATAAAGCCCAGACTTAGATTAGATTTTTGGTTTCACCCTTTCGAGCCCATACTCTACACAGCAGCCTTTATAGGCTTTTTGTATGTCATTCGTATGAAGCCCAGAAAAAATGAAAACCAAAATCGCAATTTTTGGAATTTTCCAGATATTTCTAGAAGTATTAGGAATTTCTCAAATTTTTGAACGGCATTTTGTTAAGCATTAAAATGCGCAACTTTTGTCTAATTTAACCATCCTCGTATCTCTAACGGTTACCGATATTCCCATGTTGGCCCTTGAATTTGGGACACCCTGTACAGTTGCGATCAAAAAAAGTAGTACCTACAAAAATTATCAACCCCAATTCGAGCTCCCGGTGTAACAGTAACATATAAAATTTCAACAGTAAATAAACATTTCAAAATATGATGGGTTCAGGGCAATGAGGGTTCAGGGCAATGAGGGTTCAGGGAATGACCTGAATACCTGAATGGCCTGAACTCAACATATTTTCAAATGTTTGTTTACTGTCAAAATTTTGTATATTCTATATTACACCAGTAGCACAAATTGGAGTTAATAATTTTTGTACGACTTTTTTTTGATCGCAACTGTACATACAGGGTGTCCCAAAAAGATACCGACAAACTTTAAGGGGTAGTAGGGGACATCAAAACAAGCATTTTTGTTTATATAAACATAAGTCCGCAAATGAGCCATTTGGGCTGTAGAGCAAAAAAACTGTTTCATACTTTTATTCTTCGCAATAATTAAATCACTGTTTACTTATTAATTTTGCTTTATTATCAAATAAATTATGGTTTACAATAATTATTGTTCAAAATGTTGACCATTTACTTCAATGCAAAGATTACACCGTCGGCGTCGGGTCATTGACTGAAAAGTTTAGTCTACCAAACACCTGTTCGTAATGAAGAAAATCTGATAGCAAGGATACTGGCGAGTTGTACCCATGTAGAAGCTATTCCCGGAATATTCCAAAGAGTTCGCGAGTTGAACAATTATTGTAAACCATAATTTCTTTGTTATTAAAGCAAAATTAATAAGTAAACAGTGATTTAATTATTGCAAAGAATAAAACTAGATACCAAACAGTTTTTTTTGCTCTACAGCCCAAATGGCTCATTTGCAGACATATGTTTATATTAAAAAAAATGCTTGTTTTGATTTCCCCTACTACCCCTTAAAGTTTGTCGGTATCTTTTTGGGACACCCTGTATATAAAACTACAGTCTATTTTTTCCCAAGAAAGATTTTGACATTTAAAACTTTGAAACATAACCAATGCTTGGCCCTGATTGGTCGCAAAAGGAGGTGTCCCTGCAGGTTGACCTCAGTTTTACAATGCATGTCGTGCAAATGGCATTCCCGCATTCCCGCTTCCCGCCAAAAAAAAACATATGCTTTTTGTTATGTGTGCTTCCCTCAGAGGTGCTTATGTCATTAGGTGCTTCTCAACAAAGCACCATTTTTGACAGTTCAACATGGAAATCTTGTTAGTGGTCGTGGATCATGTTTTGAGATCATATCGATCTTATCAGCTTGCTAATGATATCACTACCCTTTCATTTTATAATGGACATCAACAGGAAAAAAGGAAAAAAACTACGAAGTAGGCAAGTCAAAATAAAATATAACAGATTTTGAAATACCCTACAAAAATAGTTTGAACTGCAGAAATAGTTCAATTTGTAGTTTTTGATAAAATTACCTTTAGTATAGTAATTATGTATATATTGGTTTTTCTATAATCATTCTGGCACTGAGATTGTGTGACAACAGATAAAATACCTCGTTTTACCCTTGGATTTGAAAACTGAAAAAATTTGCTTCATTTGCAATTTTTTTGGATTAATATGTTCGATTTGAGGACAAAATGAAAAAGTAAAAGTTTGAAATAAATTAAATACCATGAAACAAGACCCTAGGATATAATACTATTTAAAAAAAGTATTTGGAGGTGGGTAGGATTTGAACTTGGACCTTGAGCATGGGAAGCTGATATGCTGACTCCACTTCTATCAAGACTGATCTAAAATTTTGTCAAAACTCACCTATGATTGACTGATTCTGCTGTTAGTTTTCTCAAAGTATTTTACAAGGATTTTTTACAGAAATAAACGTTTACAAAACGAACAATTTGCTGAAGAACATATAAAAAACACATGTTCATTTCCAGTCACGATCGTGTGGATAAAACACATGTTCAGCATAATGACAATTGACAGATTCCACTAGAGCTGGGTTTGGCAATTCTGTGGTTCTATTCAACACGTAGTAGAGTCAGAGCAGGTTTTTTGTCGCGTGTTCCAGGGTAATGAAACTTGAAAGTAAACCCGAACGACTCGTAACTTTTGGAGCAGAATGTCAAACAACTTCTTTTCAATTTTTCCGCTTGGGATAGATAAAGTAATAACTGATGCGTTTTGTTATTGTAATTAATATAAAAATAATAGATAATCTATCCTTGTGCCAAGTCCGTTTATTCGACTTCGTATAGCTGAACAAAAACGTAGTTACTCTGTTCACGCTGAAGAGCCAAATTCGAACAGTCGGAGTGCCAATAGCGTTGACCTATAGAGTATTCGGAGTGCACCGGTTACGAACAGTGAACGCGGCAAAACCAGAGTGCGAAGTTCCAAGAACACTTCGGTCATACTCCATGCGTTTTGCACTCGAACGATTGATACCGAACGGGTCAAACTGTAGCCGGAGTACTTCGGAGTACTCGGAAGCACTCAAAGGGTGGCACCCGAAAGCAGCTCTCTACCAAAACCAACCGAAATTTTGACCTTGGGGTGTTGTTGTTCTGTCAATGGCTTTGCTACTAGGCAATTGCCAGGGTTGCGTTCAAGGACGGCAATGCTAATGCCAAAACCTACTTTTCCCCCTCCACCTGTAATGCCGAACCACGTAGGTTGGAGCCGAAATCGAACGCAAAATGCCAATTTTGGCTTGGCTGTAGTCATTCCTGAACGCAGCCCTGGGCTGCGTTCAAAAACGGCTAAAGCCGAGCCAAAATTGGCATATTGCGTTCAAGTTCGGCTCCAGCGTGCCAAAAACGGTTGGCTTTACAGGTTCCAAATCGGCCGCGGTAAAGTAACTTTTGGAGGCTCTTTCAACTGAGTCTAGAAATGGTTATACGAATTTTGATTGGATGAGACCAAATTCAATATGGCGTGGCGGCCAGGCAAGTTAGTTTTGAATATGGGTTTTCATGCATATTTCAATTATTTTGTTTGTTTGCAGCTTCGAGTTTGATTATTCAATAAAATATTTGTTAACTTATGGCCATTTGCACCGACCGTTTTAAGGGAGGTTTAACGATAAATCAACGTTTAAAGTGACATTTATGCATGTAAAAATATCACTTAAAACGTTGATTATCGTTAAACTTCCCTTAAAATGGTCGGTGCAAATGGCCATAAGTACGTTAACTATTAAGTCGGGCAGAAACTAGATATTTTTTGTGTTTTTTGGTCCATGTATGGTCGCCACGCCATATTGAATGTCACGTGGTTTGGATTGCATATTGAGAAACGGTATTTGGCGTTCCAGCAAATTCACACCAGATTTGGCATCGCCGGTAGAAGGGGAATAGTAGGTTTTGGCATTAGCATTGCCGTCTTTGAACGCACTCCAGGACACCTTGGGGTGTCATCAATGACATGACATAACCTCAATTTCTTGTGTATATTTATTTGGCCAGGAAGAAGGTAAATATTTGAATTTTATCAATTATTCTGTATAGTTTTAAGTATCCATAATACTGACTATAACGTTAATTAAATCCCAGTCAAGTTATTAAGAAAATTAAATTAATATGACATTCAAATGAATTAATAGTTTTTTTTTTGAATTACTTATCTAATATATTTTTCGAGATTTTCTCTCATTCTAGGCGACTAAAACCATGTCGAATAAACTAAGACAAGAAGTCCTCCAGACCTTCAAATCACTACACCAAACCAGAAAAACCGTTTTCAAAAACGACAATCGCGCTCTCGCTGAGGGCAGAACCAAAATAAACCAAGAATTCAAAAAGCAAAAACACGTCGAAAATGAAGCAGCCATCCAGGAACTCCTAAACTATGCCAGAGCGGTTGAGCACGAACTCAAAACTTGTGTTATACAAGCTCAGGAAGTTGCCCCTGGGAAATATCAGGCTGAAATTACTAAAGATACGATTAAACTTGATAATGTTGCTTTTAAAGAAGAATGTTGCATGGAGGTTGGCAATAAAAGGACTCAACAGTGTGGGCCAAGGGGATGTACCTAATGAGATTTGAAGCTACTTTTTTTCGGTAATAGTCTTTTCTACTGTTAAGTGTTGAAAGTGTTAATTTTGGAATTTGAACATTACATTTTAAAATCTTATGGTCATATTTTCATGTCACAATTATTATTGAGATGATTCTTATCTCTACCCACCCACTATTATTGTGAAATCAAGAGAGTTTTAGAAAGTCCAACTACTTCACAAGCCTAGCAACACCATGATCAAAAAAAGCAAACCTTTGAGTTATATTTGATTTTGATTACATTGCTTTGCAAGCTCCAAAACTAAAAATTCAATTTTCAGGACCAGGAATGAAACACATTTATTAAAAATATGATTATTTATTTAGGAGAAACATAAAGCTTTTGTAACAATAATGTATTTCGTAAGAATCATTGATTAAAATTTTGTACAATTAGAAACTGAAACTGGTGGAATAATAATCTGATCCATATTTTCCACTACTATGTACTTCATTTGAGAAAAGGCTATTATCAATATAGCAACAAGTTGAAGATAAATTCTTTGAAAAAATGCATTAGACACTCAGATGGCTACGACCAGAAAAAAAACTTATTGTATAATCCTATAGATTATATAAAAATTGCTATTCAAAAATTAGAAATTTTCTCATTTTGGAGTTCTTGGGCCCAGTGCAGTAATTCTTGAAATCAAACCATCAAGATTACTATATAAATAATTTGTTGTGTGATACACATCTACACATACCTACGAGATAAAATTTTATAACAAAAATATATTCTCATAACTTTTATTAACACTTTTAATATAAAACTATTATTATTAGTTATTTATTTTATGATTGTAAGTAATAAAATACTGAGTTTTCTTTGGATCTTTCTATTTTTTTGTTTGTTTTCTTGGCAGGAATTCAAAAACACAATCAAGTTTATATTCTACTCTCATTTAAACTTATAGTAGTTTGCCTTTTATTCATAGGATAATGTCCATTGACATGACTAGACTGTGACGCTGAACACGAAATTCTTCTCTCTCCAAGACCCAGTTTGGCTTTTAATGCATTTAACGTTTTTTTCTTGCATATAAATATTAGGAAGATGAAAACACCTAAAAATGAAACATTATTTTTTTTATAGGTCCACAAAAAAACAAGCTTTTTACCTTGAAGACAAGTAATTGTATCCAGAACGATCTCCAAATTTTTAGTAAATTCATTAAACGTTCTCATATTGGTAAAGAATGCTGTGGTCACTTCGAACACCCAAATAATTCCCATAATTGTTGCTAGTTTAACGATAAGTCCTAGCTTTTCTTTATCAGCTGCAAATCTGCCATTTCTATTTGTATCGTTCATTCTGCTTATTTCATTTTTAACTCTGATACAATAAGTAATTGTTTTTATAAATAGGACTGTGTTGAATATTTGGAATAATAGTTGTGGTATTAAAAATAGGACTGTTCTTGCATAATTTCCTAAAAAAAAAAAACATGTTTATTTTATCTATCGGAAACTCTTTCAAAACAATTAACTAATCATTGCTTATAGCTGCTTGTTTATTGTTACAAGAACTTAAATGCCTAGTTTATGAAATCTGGAATAATAATTATACAATTATTATTACGCAGTAAAAAGAAAACAATTCATAAATTCTTTTAGTTCGAAAAATAATAGTCCTATGAATGACATACTTACTATCTTCCAAAAAACATTGATAAATGCCAAGGTAAGGCTGTATGGGTTCCGGTAAAATGGTTGTAAGATCAAACAGCAGGATCAACAACCCATGACACAGAGGCATACCCCAACCATAGAGAAAATAAAATAGGAACTTTTTCAAGTCTTTTCTTTTTTGGTCACTTCCAATAGTACGTCTTGGTGTGCTAAAAAAATAATAAATTCATCTGTTTATAATGGAGGTTATATTAAAATTAACATGTAGTGCAATCATTTACGAATATGTATGTAAAAAAATTAAATTAAGATTAATATTCTTTTATTAAATATATTATGGGTTTTAGATGAGAATTAAGATTATTAATTTTTGGTTAATTGAAAATGTTCAAATTTGTGGCTCAATTGCTTAAAAATTATTCGAGCTATCAAACTCAATTTAGCACGGATTTATAGAGAATTTAATGCTCTTTTTAATGGTGTATAATTTATTTTGATTTGCTCCAATTTTAATGAAAATATTGGCAGTTTTTCTTAACCTTGTCAGGATTTTTTAAAAATTGAGATTTTTTTTCTGTTTGAAATGTTCATTTGAAGATGACGTTGGATTGTTTTTTGACTAATTTAGACCCGCTTCTTCAGTTGGAAATGTCAGAAGTACTTTGATTTGATTTGATTAGATTCAAATAACTACATAGGTATATAGAAAATCCAGAACCGTATGTTGTAATAATTGTCCAAAGACAAAACGTCGGATTTCAAATTTGATAAGGCCATACTGTATAGGAGAACTTTGCCTCAATTTACCAACCCTGCATCCCTTATAAATACCGAGATCCCCATATTTACTTCCGAATTTGTAATACCCTGTACATACACAATTTCTCATTGCGTATACTTCAACTTCTCAAATGATTTTATAAACAAATATTATGAATAATTGGTAAGGTATGTCTGAAAACAAATTCTTGGTACGCAAAATGGTTTACATAAATCTGCATCAGGAAATTCGATATTAATAGATTTGTAATACATAGGTATGTGTTAAAGAAAGGCGTGGCTTGAGAAAAAACTAATTAGAAGCATTAAAAATTGTTTCATAAAAGTATTGAAACTCTTACCCAAAAGTCCACCAAATATCCAATGACATAATATTAACCCAAGCAAAAGCTGCCATGTTAAAGAAGATCAATGCATAAGCTAAAATAAAAAAGAAATACCTAATATAATTCAATATTTTGTAAAAAAATAACAGTTCTTACCTCTAAATTTACATTCCAACTTCTGATGATTCCTCCTCAAATGCGCCACAATCAGAGTAACCATAAATAATGTCATAGCCGCACAATAATTGACTAAAATTTTTCCAAAAGTACTTTTAACTTCTCCCAAATAAAAGTACACCAGCAGGGTAAGTACCAACAAAATACAACTCAGTACTTTGGCCCATAAAGTTGAAGCGTATTTTGCGATTAACGGTTTTTCGTCCAGGCAATAGAAAAAGTGGTACCCGCTGACGGAACCTTTAGTGGCATGTTCTAAACAATAGGATTTCAGATTGGAATAGTTATGTTCAACGAATTCTCCGCTGAAGTTGTAAAAGAATTGGAATTGGCCATTTTTTCCTATGCTGTACTGGATTTTGTTTTCGCGGAATAAAGAAACTTTCGGACATTTGGCGCCATAGATTAATTCGTAGTCATCTGAAATGAAAATAAATAATATTTTTAGATTTTTTGAATTTCAAACATGCTAGTGAATCGTTAATAATAATATATCCATAAACAGGGTGTCCGACGAGGTTTTTCCCAAATGATAACTTCGGAATGCATCATCGTTTGTTCCACTGTATAATTTTTTATCCTTTTTATAACAATTTCCTTAACAAACATGGCATTGCCGATTTTATGATTTAATTTTCTAACGAAAAATGGCATAATATACCACGGAGTTACATTCAAGATTCGAAAGTTGACGTCACTTGCCCGAAATTGAAGTCCTCAAAATTTCAATTATATTGGATGACGCGTTTCGAAGTTATTACCTGGGAAAAAACGTCGTGGGACACCCTGTATATACCGGGTGGGGCACGAACAACTTTCCACCCAGGTTTTCTCAGGTGTTAGGTGTTTAATCAAAAATCGCTCAGACACGTCAATTTTTGTTTTTTGGGGGACACATTTTATTGGCATTTTCACCCCCTACCTGTGAATCCCCCCTAAGTGGGGGTGACAGGTACCCACAAAATTTCAAATGAAAAGGGGGGTCGAGTGATACGTCATTTGATAGCTATTTTCATTAAGATTAACCTCGAAGTTTCAAGTTGCTATACTATTTACCCTGTCGAAATGGCGGCTTGTCAAAGTTAGGAAAAATCAATGGAAAAATGCTGTGTGGTTTTTACCTGTTACCTATGCATAGGTGTGACAGGTAAAAACTAAAAACTATACAGCTTAGATTATCGAAAAAAAGCATTTTTCCTAACTTTGACATGCCGCCATTTCAGCAGGGTTAATAGTAGCAACTTGAAACTTCGGGGATATAATCTCAATGAAAATAGCTACCAAATGACATATCACTCGACTCGATTTAAAATTTTGGGGGTACCTGTTACTCTCACTTAGGAGTTCACAGGTAGGGGTGAAAATACCAATAAAACGTGTCCCCCAAAAAACAAAAATTGACGTGTCTGAGCGATTTTTGATTAAACACCTAACACCTGAGAAAACCTGGGTGGAAAGTTGTCCGTGCCCCACCCGGTATAATAATAATAATAATAATAATAAAGGCCGTGCGGTTCCCGGCTTCAGAATATCAAGGGCCAGTTTCCGCCCTGTTGTAAGAGGCGACAAAAAATGGAACACCCTGGGAGAGGATATACGGAAATCAAGGAAGGAAGTGAAGTTCCACAGGATGGATGCTATCCCCGACAAGAGGAAAGAAGCCTTTACAACCATAGGGTAGTTGTACTGTGTGATCACCTCACATCTGGAGGCAGCACGATCGGTCGATCGGAGATGCTCTGTATACCTGGAGTTTTTACATGATAAGCCATGAAGTTCAACCAACCCACCCAGGGTTCCATGACATGACCGAAGATAGAGTTTTTGGAACAAGTGTAGAGATGATGGCTCCCTCGTACACGCAAGATCTGAAATTCAATGTCCATGTTGAAGAAAAACTACCGGAAACCGAAGCCTACACACCAAAAAGATGCCCTACTGTAGTTGAAAAAAAAAAGTCCCACTGAAATTAACCATTAACCTCTTGCTCACAGGTAACTTGGAGAGTGGCCATTTTCAACTCATGAACCAATTAACTCTAAGGCTACAATAGAACCTAACAAACAAACATACAAGGAGTGTGCCCTGTCAAATCAAACAACCAAACCCACAAAATAAACAATCACAAAAAAAAAACAAGGAACAAATGGACCATTACCGACTACGAAGAAATTATATGGTGTCACTTATATACCTTAGAACTTACAGGAACTAGTAACTAGTAAAAGATGCCTATAAACTATGGGAATCGCGAAACCCGCAGATTGCGGGCAAATTAACACCAAATACACCAACGACTCAAAGAAGATATATTTTAAATAGCAACAAGCTAACAGCCATCCAACTAGATGAGATTTAAACAAAAGTAAAAGATGCTGCTAGCGTTGGAAAATAGAAGGGGCATTGGCAAGACCAAAAGGCATCCTCAAATACTCATACTGGCCATCTGGTGTTACGAAGGCCAGTTTCTCAACTGAATCAGGGTGGTTTGAGCCCGAGGACAAAGAGAAAATTTAGAGAAAGAAAACAATAACAATCAGAAGTCAGAAGACCAACCGGAAAACACTAACCGTTCACTTTCCCATGAAAGAGACCAATTACCAGTACTACCAAAAAGTAATAGAAAACCTGATAAATACACAATCAACCACAAATCAAGACATGTCCACAACTATTAATCACTCATATAAATTAGAAAGAAAGAAATGGACTTTGGAACATTATCTAGAAATCATATTATGGCGTCACTTCTATATTCTTGAAACTACTGGAACAGCTAACGTGAAAGAGACTCACAAAATATGGCACACGTATTCCACTCCTTAATGATAAACTCATCCCTAACACACTAGCTACACAAAGAAGACTCATACTTACCTTGCGTTCGGTATTTTGCTCGAAGAGCAGAGCGTGCTGAGCGGAGCCGTAATCACGTGACCAGCGAGGGAACAGAGCAGTTGAACGCTATATAAAAGTGCCAGAAATTTTAATAAACGAACGCGAATGAGGCTGCACCGAGTACACTTTTTGAATAAACGAACGGTAAAGTCATGCTCGGAGAACTCAGACCAAAATAACGAACGCACGGTTAATAAGAATAAGTTAATAAATAATCAGCTAGAAGATATACACACCCAGAGTCAAGCAAGAAATTCAAACCCAAGGAAGAAAGGATAACTTAAATTTAATTATCAACAACTGTGATGTAGAAACTCCAACATCGCTCCCAGAAACTGGAGAAATCGTACTTTTACATTCGTCACAAGAAGAGGCCAGTACGTTATTGCCATGAAAAAATACTACAGAGGAGAACTTAGAACCGCGGCAATTCACTAAAGAAATCGTTAAAAGAACTCAAGAAGACAGCAGTACGGCCCAAAGTATACAAAGACTAAACAGTGCCGTTGAAGAAATTGAATGATAATGAAAATACCAAAGAATTAATCCAGAGAGGTAATGAATCAATAAAATAAATTCTACAAGAACATCCTGAACAATGCCAACACCCAGGTCAAAAAAAAAACACAGAAGAGAAACAAAAATGAAAAAGGAGACCCACCATGGAAAAAGAGGTTAAACCAGAAAATAGCAAACTACAGAAAAGAACTATCATACCTCCTTGAATCTCGAAAGCCAAACTTGAGCTCTAAAATGAAAGACGTAAAGATAGTTCTCTATAAACATAAAATAAAGAATGCTAAGGATCATATGCAACAATCATAGAAAAACTCAAACATCAGATTTTAGCAAGAACAGGAGAAAAAGATATAGTAAACAAACGGGAACAAACAATATCAGCAGAACAAGTTATTTTCTGAAAATACAGCCAAGTTCTACAACACTGTACTCAAGAATAAGATAGAATAAGCATCTAAAATTTCCACAAGAGAAGACCTCGAGAAATACTGGAAAGAGATATGGGAAAAGGAGTCGAAGCATAACAGCAAAGCAACATGGATACAAAATGAATAATGAATATGACAGAACCACGAATTTGAAAAGAATAGAATGAGAGGACATAACTGAAGCCGAAATCAGAACAGCGATAAACACTTCCGCTAATTGGAAATCCCCTGGAGTAGACGGGATACCATATTTTTGGCTGAAAAAACTTACAGCTACACATGGAAACATAGCGACAGCCTGCAACAGCATAATTAAGAGAAAACTATACCTGATTGGTTTACAAAAGGAAAGACACATCTAATACCAAAGTATGAAAGGAGTGAGGAACCGAAAAACTATAGATCCATCATCTGTTTAAACAACTTATTCAAAACCCTGACAAAAGTAATATCAGAGAGATTACATGTAGGTACATCTATCTCGAAACAATCTATTCTCTCCAGAACAAAACGGATGTATTAAAAACTCATACGGCTGCAAAGACCATTTACTAACAAACCAAGCAATTTATACAGACTGCAGAAAAAGTGGCAAAAATCTATCACTAGCCTGGATAGACTAGAAAAAAGCCTTTGTAGTATTCCACACAGCTGGCTAATTGAAACACTTAACATACCGGGTGACAATGAAACTACTACCCACGGCGGCATTTCTTAACGGCTCGAGATAGAAATAAGCAACTCGGTTTGTTGATAGGGTTGAAAATTGTGAACAATTTTAATATAAAAACAATTGAATGTCTTTTCCGGTTTCACCGGAAATGGCATTGACTTTGTTATTTTAAATGGGACACCCTGTATATTATCTTTTTTTTGGACTCTCTGAACAATTTTAAATAATTTTTGTCTAACATACCCTATGTCAAAAATTGATAGTTTTTGAAATATAGTGGCTCGGAAATTTGTCGCTATTTCTATTTGTTTGTATTTTACGTAAAAACTGCCATTTCCGGTAAAACCGGAAAAGACATTCAATTGTTTTTATATTGAAATTGTGCACAATTTTCCACCCTATCAACAAACCGAGTTGCATATTTCTATCTCGAGCCGTTAAGAAATGCCGCCATGGGTAGTAGTTTCATTATCACCCGGTATACCGTACATCACCGATGTTGCTCAATTTCTTATGTAAAAACATGACCATGTGGAATACAGATTTAAACCTAACAACGGACAGAGAAATTATCACAGGAATATGAAGATAAAAAGCGGGATCTACCCAGGTGACTCCCTGTCTCCATTACTTTTTTGTATTGCACTGTTTCTTTTGAGCGCAATCTTAAACAACACAGATACAGGCTACCGATGTAGAAACGAAAAGCAGAAAATCAATCACCTTTCTGTATGTTGATGACTTAAAGTTGGTTGCAAAAATGAAGAAGAACTCATCAAGCAACTCGATTCAGTAAGAAGATTCAGTGACGCGACATTCAAATGGAGTTTGGCCTTGAGAAGTGTGCCAAGGCAAGCTTTGCAAAAGACAAACTGAAGTCAAAGGAAAACATTACATATTGT